AGTAATCTCAGCCATCAGTCAGACAAATCACAAAAATGTTTTGTGTATTAAATTGTAACCCACTGAAGATAATCGATCTTTAGTGATGTAGTATCTCTGTGCCGTATGCATGATGCTGGCGCTTGTGCTTGCAGTACTATCAGCCATTGTCGCGCCAGTCACTGGATATCCGAAAGGTCTGTGAACCTGTTTGAATTTGGAAGGAAACTGCCTAATGGCACGAAATACAATGCAGCCAGGCGAGAGATTAGGCATGGAATCTTTATATTGTCAAGGAAGCTTGGTGCTCAAGAGATGAGAGATTCGGAAGCCGTGTGTAATCGTTGCAAATTCACACAGCTGATCTGCATCGATGATCCCCTGGGACATATGCGTCAGTGAGACAATCATGGACTAAACAAGCGCCCTAGTTTACAGTAAGGAGTGTTGTCCTTGGACCTTTTCTTGCTCAGGTTTCGTGGACAAAACCATAGTCGGTTATTTTGAAGGTTCCTACAGAGGCGGAGATCTGAGACACAATGATTGCATTGTTGCTCCGGGCTCCCTTGCATTCGCACTAGTTGAGAATGGTGGTGACGTGTGTAAAACACTGACCTACTTTATTGGAGGGGTCATTTTGAGGCGCACGATGTGCGCATAGATTGCGACTTGCAATCTCAATCAGGGCCAGGATTTAGCTTGAAGAAAACCGCGGTCAACTCTTCCACTAGTGTTGCATCTGAAGCAGACAGTAGAGTTACGAAGGGGCGGACAATCAATGATTACTCACCGACGCCCCTTTTCGTACAGGTCTGAAAGAAAGAGACCATACCAGCTAAATGGATTGAATGGAGCACAGTGGCAGTGTATAAGAAGGGTAGTCGCAACCACTGTGCGAACCACAGGCTATTAGGTTAACGTCGGTGGTTACAAGATTACTAGCCTTAATTCACCTTCGTCGCGTTACTTTGGAAAGGGAATCCTGGATCAGTGAAGAGTAAACAGGTTTCCGCCAGGATGGGGCTGTGTAGACCATATATTCACTCTGTGACAGGTACTAGAGCAGCACCACGTGTAATGCAGACTGACAATAGCTAGGTGTATACAAGGCTACAAAGAGGACCGCCCTGCTATGTGCAAGTGAGAGTTGGCCCTTCCTGTCTGAAGATCTGAGCCGTCCTTAAATCTTTGATTATTACTGTGTACGGAGCACTGCTAGTGTCGGATGGCATCGGCACATCCGAAACTACGATGTGGGTAGAGGAGTACTAGACAGTAATCAGGCTAGCTCCTTGAAATAGCAGATATCACTGAATAGGCCGTGTTGACCTGGGCACCTACGTATGCTTGGTCACCGCTTACCGAGGACCTTGTTTGCTTGTTATATGTTCAGTGGCGCAAGGGTAGGGATGGGAAAAAATTGATTTATCAGCGGAAAATGAAGTCACTAACTACTAAACTGGGTGCTTTTGGTCCGTCTCGCCTTCCAGGCCGGAGTCTATGTGATCCGCTTTGTGCTTTGCTTGTAACGTTAGAGGACATGTTTGACAGTCGGCACCACTAGCGCGTCTGCTGTCGTCTCCTAGACGGACTTCATGTGTAAAGTGCGCCTGATGCTGAATTATCCGTGAGACAGGGGGCTGATTATGATGCGGAGCAATGAGTCGCAAAGAAGCTGCTTCGCGAATGCTTCTTTATTTTCGCACCATAGCCAGTTATTTGCAACTGTATGTTGTTAACAATATGGACAACTTAATGTTTGCTTCATGCATTACGGTTTTACACTAGGTCCTTCTCAGTATTCTTCAATCCGTAGGTCAGTACAGATGACTGAAATGAAATGATGAAATGTGTCAGCTTATACGCCGTAACGACGCTTCGCTGCCGCGCGACCACCACTAGTCGCGCGCGGGCTGAGTATACCGCGAGGACGCCCACCCCTACGCGGATTCGAACCGGTGACCTTATGGTTGGAAAGCAAACGTGCCGACCACTCGGCCACCGGCCAAGGTAATGCTGTTAGCATTGTTATCATTGTTTTTATATGGAGTAGATAAGTTAACACTTCTGGAGCTACGCGACGATCTGTGCAGGATGTGATTGGGGTTTAATGGCACGATCATGACTGTGCTTTGAGTAGGATACGGCCAGGACGTTCAAACTAATGCCATTATCGCAAAAGTACAACCGAAAGGCAACGGTCCAGTTTTACTGATATGGACATGGTCTCATTTCCGATCCAAGACATGGAGGACCAAGAAGCCGAGTGCAAATGATCTCTAACCATTGATTAAGCAGGCAACTCACAAGAGGCCCGGAGGTGGCACCCGACACAGGTCAATAGGTCGAAGAGGCAAGAAAACCGTCGTACCACGGTAAGGTCCATTGTCGTGGCCCCAGTGCGGAGAAAACATAGCACCACTAAAATATGCACATTTGGGATCACTCGTTGATCGCGTGTGTACAGGCTCCGACGCATCAGGATCAGTTCACAGGATGATGACGAACTTGGACCAGGAGCTTCATGAATGAGTGTAGAAATTGCAAACGAATGACTGGAAACAACACGCCTCTTAATCGACCAGGAGGGACAGTATTTTTTATTTTGTTTTGACACTGGTCATGCCCATTGCTAGTACTGCTGTTCTTTAACCTTATTCCCAGGGGCAATCATGGGGTAGTATATAGCTAGTTAAGGCAAGGCATGACAAACCCACAACACCCAGTACATTATCAGTTATTTAGTTCCGTAAAAAAAGAACTCGTTCCAGGAAATGGTTTGTTCGGTGAATTCGGACAACCTTTCTCTCTCTTCAAACTATCAGCAGGCAATGGACCTTAATCAGAACATAATTTCCTTCTAAATTGACTCAACAGTGGTGCCAAAATATGTGCATCAAGTTGCAATCTATCAAAGAATGTACGCAAGCATCGCGAGATTTGGTAGAAACTCAGGCTTACATCAGACTATTGCTCTAGCAATCAAAGATAGCTGAAGAACTCAAGCATCGGAATGAGTGAAGTATCATTTTGAAAAGTTTGAAACTTCCCTTAGTTTTCAGTTTAAACTGGCATTATTTAATTGCTCCAGCTGACGCGACTTACGTCGCCACATACACAATAAACAACAATCGTAAGAAAATGATGATGTACACAAAAAACGAAAAAAAGAAATCGAGAAAATGTGCGGTAAACCAAGCGGAGTGAGAAAAAGGAATCAGCAGTACGCCAGTACACGGTACCGACGCTTTGCTGCCGCGCAATCGTCAACATCCTCGCGTGGGCTACGGAGACTGCGAGGGTCACCCAGCCGTCCCCTACGCAGGATCGAACTCGCGTCGTCAGATGACAAGGCAGGCATGTGATCCTAAAGGCCAAGGGTCAATAATGAAGTGAAAATCAAGGGACAGATGCGAGAAATCCGATGCAAGAGCGCAGATGATCGCGCGACTTTGCCATGTCCGATAGAGTCTGCAAACATTGATGTGGAGCATTTCGAGTTGCCTTTGGTGGTTGGTGGTTGCCTTGGTGGTTTTCCTCTCCTGGTAGGTCTTCGTTGTTTACGGGCTCTTGAGTCTTGCCATGGTTCGGCCTCCGCTGATCCGCTCGCCTGATACATTTCTGATCTCCAACCGTTATTTCGAAATTGACTCCGCCACTTCTACCTATCGCCAATTCTGTCAACCACTTCCTCGATCGACGGAAATCGCTCACGTACTTCATGTCATCAATCTTGAAATGATCGACCAGGTCTAGTCGATTCCTCTCCGTATGCCATCGTCTCATCTCCGGACGGTGACTCTGAACCCATCGGCTTGGGAATGATGATAGTAACACCTGATTGACTTGCGGTTGTTGACATATGCTGTTCATTAACTGATCTAGCAATTCCAATTCATACATCCAGTCGACACCCAACAGATCTAACCCCGTCTTGTCTGTCACGAAACATATGCGGATATTTGGATAATGAAATTGTCTTGACGGTTCAACAGACCAAGCAACTTTAACATACCTCCTGAGGCATTCTGTACCGTTTGACACACCAGTATCAGTGACGGACGCCAAAGTGTGCACCATGTATCACGGGAGATCAGGGTTGTACCTGGAGCGGTATCCAACTGCAACTTGAGTTCCACCGTCGTATATTTCAACTTTGGAAGTGGCAGTGACAAACCTGGTCATTTTTGGACGTCTGGACGGTGTAGCATTGCTTCGCTTCTTCCTGGTCAAAATGGGACGACTTGCCAGGAAACACGATTAATTGTGCCCCCGTTGACTACCGATTGCAAACGTGATTTCTGAACGGGCAGTTCCGGCCAAAATGCCATTCACTATAAACTCAACAAACAGGAGGTTTGGAATCTAAGAGACTCACATGAGCTGACCGCGGCTAACTGCACAGCTCAAGTAGTGATCGTTGCGGTTAGACATGTGCTGAATAATTGAGGTATTATGTTTCAGGTTGGTCATTCTTTGGCATTCACTGGTTATCTGCTGAAGCGTGACATCAGGGTTCTGTTCATTCCTGTTTAGTATTCTTGTCCGAAAGTCAGCATCACTGGCTACTTGTAGGCCGCACACGTATATGAGTCACTTTTACGGGTTGCCGGTCATCCTGTGAAACTGCGAACATTCGCACTCGCGATCTACACGGCTCGAGTAGGTGACCCAATCTTCGTCATCTTTCTTGACCATTATGAGACACTCGTACCGGATGTTGAACAAGGATGTCTGCTTATCAAACGTTTGTGACAGGAATAAGACAACTTCGTCAAAGGATAGGTCAGTGCCCTTCCTTGGCAAGATGAAAGTTGGAAACAATTCATGTGCAGACGTGACCAAGTTCCGGAGTATCAGGCGAATTTTCTTCTCTTCTGGTACATTTGCGAAAACAATACGAAACATATTTTCATACTTGTGAAACCACGAAGCGAATGTTACACCAGCATCTGTATCATAATGGAATTCGCTGATCTGCTGGATCAGGGTTTATGGAAAGGGAACACTTCCACTTGTCTCTAACCCTCAGCATCATCATCACCATCATCATCATCATCATCATCATCATCATCATCACCATCACCACCACCACCACCACCACCACCACCATCATCATCATCATCATCATCATCATCACCATCATCATCATCATCATCATCATCATCATCATCATCATCATCATCATCATCATCATCATCATCATCATCATCATCATCATCATCATCATCATCATCATCATCATCATCATCATCATCATCATCATCATCATCATCATCATCATCATCATCATCATCATCATCATCATCATCATCATCATCATCATCATCATCATCATCATCATCATCATCATCATCATCATCATCATCATCATCATCATCATCATCATCATCATCATCATCATCATCATCATCATCATCATCATCATCATCATCATCATCATCATCATCATCATCATCATCATCATCATCATCATCATCATACATGTCAGCTAGAGGTGGGGAAACACCTCCGCTATTGTACCCTGGGCTTGACAATATCGACAGCTTCTGCGTCAACATCTCAATGGGCCCGGTCTGCGATTTTACAAACTGTATTTGCCGTTGCTGTAAAAGTGCCTGCAATTGTTCGAGGCTCACGGCCATTTCCGGGTTTGGTTGAAACTCCCGTCGCCACTGGGTCGATAGACAAATGGTCTTGATAGTATGCATGGTTTCTGGTCGCAGCAATACCGGAACATTGTTGCGTTTCATTATCGGGTATTTTTTCTTCTCTGAAAAACCTGTACGAAATACTGCAAAGTTGCCTCCGTCGCTGCGCTGTGAAATCTGTTAATTTGAATCTGGAACTTGCTTGAAACCATGGAGTACGCGCGCATATAAATTTGTATGCTTCTTGATAAGGATTTTTGTTGAGGCAATCATTCGCAGAATGCCTCTCACCACGTTTGCAAGACGCAGTCGGAGGCTCTCGGTCCGGCACATTTCGATTCACATGTTCGTAATGAATAGCAGTGACAGGACTGTGCTTTTCTTATGGGATCTCAAGTCGCAATCTGCCTGTAATAGATCCCATCAAGCAAAAAATGCACGTTGAAGGTGCAACGTCGGATGAATTCTTTTAGCTTCTGTACCGGAATTCCAACATCCATGTTTCTCCCAGTGATGTAGTAACAGGTTAAATTCACAGTCTCTATCAACGGTACGTTAGGGAACAGCGATTCGACATCAAATGAAAGCATCACTTCATCTTTCACTTTAAGTTTTCTATTGGTTTGACGAATTCAAACGTATCTGCCGCTGTATAAATCGACAGACCTTTGGTTCGAGTAATACAGTCATTCATTTGGCGACCGAGTGAAAAGCTGAGGATGACATGTCGGCTATTAGTCGCATGGGAATGTTGACTCCACGACTCTATGAATTGCCAGAAGTTCACCAAACCAACAGATTGATGGCAGATTGATGGAATCGTCATGAATTCACCTTTAGGCCCATTCTTGACTGATATCTTCCTTGCAACGTGCGAACGTGGACCCCTGAGTCACCTTATTGTTTCACACGACTCATATCACCGTTACATGGATGACCCATTCTTTGGCTGTAATTCATCTAGCGAGTGCGTCAGTCTACTACATCAATTTAACCGAGTGCATCCCACAATGAAATTTACCAGTAATTTGGAAAAAGATGACCGTTTTATCTTCCTAGATGTTCTGTTGCAGCGAAGTAAAGATGCAACGATTGAAAGGAGCGTTTTCTGCTAGGTGACTTGGGTAGGCCAATACACCCACTTTCTCAGTTTCGTACCTTTGAGATATAAAATGAATTTGGTTCGTTTCCTGTACCACCGTGCCAGAGCCATCTGCAGCCCCGGGACACGTAAAAGCGAAACGTAGCTCATTTTCAGCACGCTGCTAGAAAATGGGTATCCAATCCCTTTCATTAGAAAACATTCCATGCTACTCGATTCCACCAAATCGGTAGCTACAGTACCAAAAAAGAATGTTTTCCTTACAGTTCCTTTTAAATGGGATTTCGCCTTTGAACTGTTGTGACGAAAACTCTTCACCGCAGTTACCCAAACGTTTCCAGCTGCCAAGTTAAGACTACTTGCCGAAACAAGACCACTTATTCCTCAGCACCTAAACTTCCAGTCCGGTCCGAATCGTTCATCGTATATCAATTCACTTGCACCGATGGTGCAAGATAGCCTGGACATGCAACCAGGTGCTTGTTCAAACGGATCGCTGAGCATTGTCCGGCTTCACTGCGAAAAGGCACAGTGAAACGCATCAACAGTTCCATTCTACAACATCTAGTGGAAAGTGGACATCAAGTGCGGATGAATGAAGCATTTAAAGTCATCTATTCCATCCCGAGACGCAAGGCAAAGAATTAAAAAAAAACACCTATTGGTAATCGCCGAAGCTATTGTAACTAGGGTTCTGAAACCAGGACTGTGCAAACAGCGAATGCTAGTACAAACCCTGGCTTTGAACCAAATTAGCATTGCTTAAACTCTTTTCAACATTACTTGCCCAGTCATGGTCACGTGTGTTTTCGTATGTGACCCAGTCCAATTGACAAACCATTGATTGATCTTTTGTACTGCCTTTTTTGTTAGCTACCTAATGTTCTGCTTCCGCTTTCACGAACCCATTCAAGTAGCACTTATGTTTTATAATTGTAGGTGTCTAAAGTGAATTATCGAAAAGAATATTCTTCGCAAGCAATTGTTAACTTCTTAATCCATGGGAATACTTTGTTAACCTAGCAGGCTGCTATCTTTGTTGGCTATATAGAGTCGTTATTTTTGGCCTCAGATCGCATCTATACTGACGCCAACACTAGCTTTCCGTTCTTTGTATGTACCTGATTGGTTCCTTATTTGTTCCCTGTTTCTTGGTTTTACTTGTCCGCATGCTTTCTGTACTTCGACTTTCATGCTTGCGCGTCATGCTATATGACGAGGTGGGTGCAAGGTCAGGATTCCGAAGTTTATAAAGAAAACCAGAGAACGTTTATTCTGATTTACGAAGATTCGGAAGAGATTCCCAAGATAAATCAGAACATACTGCACAATGCATACGTTCAGGCTTCCGTGCGAAACGCAGTTATTATGTTCTGGATATCGTAATCCCTGAATAGCGCATTAGAAAACATCGATAGCACCGAAGAAAAATTGCGGATAAAGAGGTGTCTAAGTGAAATAAACACATTTACACCCCACTTTAGCTTCAAGTTCGTTGCTTTTTTTCCTTATCATGTTTCTGAAAAACACTAGTGCATAGACAGGATTAAAACCGGCATATAAAATCCGGACTGCTTTGTACCACACGTGGAATTCGTGCTCATGTCCGTTTAGGATTATTATGCGGTAGCACGAAATGGCGATATTTTTTTGCTCTGTTTCTTCGAGCGAACAGCTCGTGTTGTCCAGGGATATACAAGTTATTCATTGATTTCAGGCCGCACGTCTGGGAGCTGACTTAAAATAATGACGAGTGGGATGATTAACACCAGGTTACTATGATACATTTTTCCCTAAAACGAAATATTTGGGTTTCTACGATAAGAATTTGAAGGTGCCTATGTATGAGGACGTTAAAAGTGAGTTGGCTCTATCAATGCAAATAAAGACGGGTGAGCAAGTGTATAAATTCGGAGTCATTTGTTATTCGTGAGCGTAAATGGGCAGATATGTGGATCGAAAGGGTTGAAAATGTTGCTTGACGTGCTCAGCGTAATACATATGATTCAACTCTTAAAGGATCATATGTTACCAAGCATTATTTGATCTTTTCGTATTCTATAATTATTCGCATCTCATTTTTTCATATATTTACCTTTTCATATTGCGACACCATAGATGAGGTGTTGCTCACCTTCAGCTTACATGTAACGACGAGGATGTGAAAACTTACTAGTGACTCAAGAATCCCGGAGGCCTGAGCTGCGCGAGATACGAATTCAGGTGAGCAACTAACAGGTGATTTAAGGCTGTTACGGTTACTTAAAATGACTGGAAGACTTATGGGTGAATCAGCTGTAACAGTGGTTTTGAGCTGCTGACAAATGCGTCAAACAAGGCCACTAGTGGGCAGAGGACAAGAGGTTATCCCCGAATGCGATTCGATTCGTGAAACAATGTGGTGCCAAAATGGGATTCCCTATCAGTTATGACTTGGGCTGGTGCACCGAACAGAAATCGGTGTTTCTATAGAAGTCCAAGTGATAGTTTGAGAAGCGACATCACTAACAGAAATCGCGTGTAGCCAAAGAACAAAAATGATCAACAAACGTCTGGCGTGAGACCGTTCGATGGAAGTGAATGTTTAACTACATCAGGATGAGTGTGTCTAAAGCGCACACTGAAAAGTAAGGAAGTTGCAGGAGCAATGGTGGTGCGTTGGTGTGCTCTGCTGCTCTGGAAACCAATACAAAGCTCAGTTTATCGTCGAATATCCGAGCGAATATTTTATCAGATGCATTGATTACCCACCAGGTTCACAGTAGATCGAGTGCTCGGATGTGATAAGCCATGAAGGTAGCAAAACAAGGTTCACCGACACGTCTGTAGGACAAACGGCTCAGATTAACTAGTAGAAATATTGCAATACATCCTCGCGTTATAGTTCAACACAGGGAACCTACAGAAAATTTGAAAGAGGAATTCGATTAAAGCTACGTGGGCTCAGCATCATTCGTTTGGGTAGTGAATATTGCGACGTAGATGGATGGCCATTAAACTTGGCGAGCTTAAGTGCGGGAGAATGCATCGCTGATTATGAGCGGACCGCTAATGCAGTTAAGGTTAACCCAGTACAAGACATTATCCCTCCCACTTTAAACTGGACAATTTGCAAACCAAGCTGGACGTTTCGCAAACAGAACTGGACGTTTTGCAAATGAAATTGAACACTGTTTATTTTAAGCAGAAAATCCGCAGTGTATTAGCAAGTTTATATGAGTAAGGCGGCTGGACGATGTTCAGGCCACATTGCGTGATATCTGCTAGATCTTTATGTTTTCTCGCTATTCCGAAATAAACAAAAATCCTCCGCAAGAATTCTAGCCCAGCCGAAAAAAAATCACGAAGTCCAACGAGCCTGACCGCGAAAAACGCGTTGAAAAAAACACCGCCATACGTAGCCAAAACACTGTACAACTATGCCAGACCTACGCAGAATATACAGGTAGCACAATGGCCTTCGGCTTCCAGAAAAAGGAAGGTCGATTGGTAAGAATAGCAGCCTCCTTGCCAAAACTCCGTATGATGGCAATCATGTGAAGGAATACAAGGTTGCAGAATTTTCGAAATCAATACAGACTCGGAGATAATAGGTTAATTTCTAAAATAATGGGTATTCCTTGATTGTTTTTACCTTTTTCTGGATACCCCCCTTCCTGAGACGACTGCGGCGTATGATGATAGCCTAAGATTGACCTGAATTCTCCTGGACGGTGTTCTACGCCTATCGGCC